ATATAGCGTATATATGTTTACACACACACACACGCACAACAGTTGTGCGCGGTCTTCTTTTAAAAACATATAAAAGTTGATAATAACAATCATTCATTCAATTAATTGATTTCTCTAATGATGGGCTCAATGTTGAAAATGAACACTGCGCTGCATAAATATAGGAAAACCAGTAAAAATTTAAGTACATGTAAATTGTACTTGCAGTGATTTTGTGAAATACCACTAGTGAGCTAAAGTACCACTAGTGTTATGAGTACCACACTTTGAGAATCACTGCTCTAAACGTTCATCCTCAGAGTCACGGGTTTGAGCAAGAGGCGGGTTACACCCTTGAATGGTACTAAACAAAGTAGTATCAATTAGAATACCATGTTTAGACTACTGCAGGCACATATCGTGGAGGGATTTTTTTAACCTCACTTCCCCTTTAAGTACTGACGTAGCATGGTAAAATGCTTGAATGCAGGTGTTTTCAACTGGTGGGTTGGGACCCAAAAGTAGGCCGTGGCTTTATTACAGGTTGGTATTGATTGTACGTATTATTTAGTCATTTGATTGTGTTACATTTATGTTTTTTGATCCAAATAACATGTTTACTTTAATTATGACCTTACTACTTTGTGAGTGTGGACATGGGACAGGAGATGTGAGCCAATCTCTTTTTTCGTCAATGGACGTTCCAGCTTCTTGTTTTCTTTTGAACTTAGCTTGTAGCAGACGTGTGCACATTTTCAGCATGACGTCTCTGATCCACTGGTGAAAGGACACTTTGATCCTCTCCTCTTTCATCATAACTGCTTCAAACAATAAAGAGTATGCAGAAAAGTGGTTAAGATTGCATGACTGACAGACAAACTGTGTCTGATGTGTTGTGTTGTATTATTTTTTTATTATGTTATTATGACTTCAAGATGGCGCCGCAAAAGTGGCTGCCTTCACAGCAGCTCCTATACTTTTTGTTCTTCTACTTTCTTCCTTTTTTAACTTTGTTGCTGTAAATTGGGAATTTCTCCATTGTGAGACGAATAAAGGTTTTCTTTTACCTTTATTTGTCTCACAATGAAGAAATTCCCAATTTATAGCAGCAAAATTATGAAAGGGAGAAGTAGAAGAAGAAAAAGTATATAAATAAATATAAATTATAAAATACAAATATAAGCATATTAAAAATGGGTGAGTGCGCGTGAGTCCAGGTTTTCAGGTCTGTCTATTCATTAGCCTTTTTTTTTTCTTTTTTTTAGCCATTTGCGATGGATAATGACGTGACGTGTTCCAACTGATCAACAAATTTGTTGGAGCAGAACTCCATTGTAAACGGAGGACCCTGTGGAAAGCAATATATGGTACTTTCATTTTATTTGGGGAAAAAAAGTTTTAGCAGATATATCAGAAAGGTGCATCAAAATGGTATGTGCATTTGTACAGTATTTGGGGAGGGACTTTCCGGGAAAGATACAAGATACTGTACAAGTGAAATATTTAATGGTGATATTTAACTTAACCTCATTCATTTATGTATGTGCAGTTGTCATCTTAATCTTCTGTTTCTTAATAGGGGCTTAAGCATGGTGTAGTTCAGTTTAAAATGGGTGTACAGTACATATTTCAAAGGACGCTTTTGAACAACACATTTTGTTTATTGTTCTTAAATGGAAAAAATGGGGGTTTGCGACTGAGAGACAATGGATAGATTTCTAACAAAGCAATCGGTATTAGTTTGTCTGTCCTGTTGGAGGTTGACATCCATGAGGATAAGATAGACAGACTTGAAGTGAAAAGACTACTTGACTGACTTGTGTTTCTTTTTGCTTTTTTCCCTCATCAGTTAATATCAGTACTGTCATGAATTGTCCAATTAAGGTGCGCTAAGATGAGGGCTGAAAAGTTGAGAGGGGATAGAGAAACTTTAGATGCAGTGACAAAGACGCAAGACAATAACAAAGTGGCCGTCATAAACAATTGTGATCCCTGCACAACTCATACATCTGTGCGGCGACACGAGAAATAAAACTAAAGCTGCTGTTTTCATAACGGTCCGAGTAGCAAGGGCAAAGTTTACAAAGAAGTCTTTGGTTGCGTACATCTTCTAGGCGGTGTGCATCTCGTGAGGATCGAGTATAAATTGTTATCATATGAGCCATTCATTCCCTTTGTGTCCTACAGAGCTATACAAGCGGCATATCATCTGCGGCCAAGTCCTCTCTCCGAATGCGGCTGACAGGAGCAAAGTGCTACTGAGCGATAATAAGGCCCCATAAAACTATTTAATCTAGTGATTGGGAACAGTTGACAGCTTGGCTTACTTTAGCAAAATCAGCATTGACTTTTCCTAAAACAGGCTATAAACCAGTTGGCATGATGGGAGTCAGCTGCATTTCAACTAATCAAATAATTCTACATTTCTGACATGTATGTACATATAATTTTGCAATTACCTCAAATGTAGTTAAAGGATGACACAGTCGCTGAGGGTCCCAGTGACATTATTCTCCCGAGTCGTAACAGGATGCACATTCATTCAAGGGCCACTATCAGCCGCAACTCACGCCCACACTTGAGCTAGTGTTCAATCTTAGATGTCCATCCTGCCCTTACATCTTAAATGTTCATTTGTCCCTTTGTCTGTCATCATCAATGACATCACAGGCATACTCAAAACAAAGCAATTAAAGCGCAACAACAATTTACAACTATTTACATGGACCGCTGCAAAGCATGCTGGAAAGTGTGTGACCTCACCATTATTACAAATTGGCAGAAAGAGATGAAAGGGTAAGGATGTTGGGGGTAATTTCTAGTTTACTGGTGCAGCCGGCTCATTGTCACCTGTGAGTTTGTACAGTGTGGGCGTCACGCAGCGTAAGGCGGAATAGCGAGGAGGGTGGCCATTATTTTAAAAAAAGTCCAGCTTGACAGCCAGCATGTGGACAGGGGCTTTGCTCTGGTGTGGCTGCTTTAAGAGGGCTTTGACATCAGGGTTTGGACAAGCTCCGTGATGACCATGTGGAATGCATGCCAGCCACTAGAGGCTTTAAGCGTGCACATCACCATGTACAGCAGTTATGTGGAGACTGTGTAGAAAGATGCTACCTGTAAATGAAGCAGGAGTGGTATTTGATTGACAGGCAAGCGTGCATGGTTTCATCGAATTCAGCTAACAGTAGTTTTTGCGAAGAGGACAGCCTGATTTGTTACGATTTTTAAGCCTCTTTTTAAATATTTAATGATTTTTTTTTTTTTTTTTTATCTTTCAAATTTGGGAGGGTTGGAAACAACTCCTTTCTCTGTAGTTAGACAAATTTAGAAGCACTTTGCATCCAGATAAGTGTGCAATGCCGGTTGCTCCACCAAAATGAGTACATTTGACATTAATAACTACATGTGGGTAAATATAATTAAGAGTGAATACAGTCAACTTGAACTCACATACAATACCGTTTTTCAAAACAGCAATGTTTCCACATTGGCATACACATGGCAGATGAGTACTAAAGCATCACAGTATGCAATGCTGGCCTATTTGTAAGAAACAAAGATAAATAGAAATTATTCATTCCATTCTTCCTTCCTTTCGTCCTTCTTTTCTGAAATAAGAGTACAGTACAATAGTCCATGTTCAGCCCGCCATCCTGGTCCTGGGATTACGTCATCCATTTTGGGCGTGGGCGCATGATGAGGCGCCTTTCGAGGTTGCCAGATTAGAAATAAAGACTTTTAAGATTTCAAACAGATATAGTCCGATTTCGATATTATTTTGTATTCTAAAGCAGTTTAAACCACAGAGAGGAAAATGAATGCTTTCAAATTAGTTAAATGCTAATTAACGCAGAGTTAGGGCGGCCCACTGAGTTTCAAGTGACTGCGTGCTTCGTACCTCTTGAAGTAGGATAGTTCAGACACCTGGCAACCCTGCCTGTGGTTACTTACTGCTACATCTTACAGGCCTTCCCTTCGCGTTCTAAATCCGTTGCGTTCTCTCTGTGGTTTTAAAAGGTAGGAATGCACTCGCTGCTTCGTTTTACTTTGTCCAGTGTAACGTTATAACTCCTCAAGGTATGATTGCAGCAAACAGTAGGTTCTTTAAACCAAACGCATTTACTTATTTAGTTAGCAAATACTAGCCTGGAAGCTAAAGAGCTAGGCTAACGTGGCGCAGGCTGTCAGGGCCGCTTTTGTTCTTCAACGAGGGTGCGGTAGTGTGCACACTCGTGTATTGAGAGAAAACTGGTCAATTGTCATTAATTATTCATGTTGTATCTTCACCCCGTGAAACCAATGTTTGTAATTTGTCATACTTAATAAGGTAGGACGAGCCCCCTTTGCAATGAATGCATTTAAGTATTGTGTATTGCGAAGTATTCTCCATGTGAAGTCGAACAACGAATATTTGCAGTTGTGTACGTACTACTTTGTGTGTGCACCGTGCTTAAAACCCCCAAAAGTCGATTGTTACGATGCAGGGGTAAATATTAGTCGTAGTCACAGACTTGAAGATGTTGCGAATCACCTCCGTGTAAAATGTTAATTGAACGAAAGACGTGGTTTGTTCCTTTGTGACGTTGCATGCATTACATTCAGGCACACATGAGTCAGTGTGAATTTTCATATCTGAAACTGATTACAACCGATTTTTTTGTTTGTTTAAAGGCTTATGACCAGATATGTCTGATGAAGGGTACGTTGTACGAATCAGGGGTCTCCCTTGGTCCTGTTCGGTGGACGAAGTGCAGAGATTTTTCTCAGGTTGGCTTTATTGTTTTTTTCAAATGCATGAAAAACATTTAAATGAATGGATGATTGCAATGTATGTTACATCCCAAATTTTAGATTGTAAAATTCTTGGCAATGGCGGCGGTGTCCATTTCACCTCCACAAGAGAGGGTCGTCCCAGCGGCGAGGCATTTGTTGAGTTGGAGGCGGAAGAAGACCTCAAGCAAGCCCTGAAGAAGGATAAAGAAACAATGGGGCACAGATATGTGGAGGGTGAGCGTCGCTACAGTGAACCCCCTTTTTTTCCCTGGATGCATTCACCCCCCACCCCCACCCCCCGAAAATATGAAATACAGAGAATCAATATTGTTTTACCCCTCCCACATTCTTCAAACACATTTAAATGTATTTAAACATTAAAAAAACTATTGAACACGTATTATGCAGAGATGAAAGTCCTCCGGATTTTCCCGGAATTCCGGGTTTTTCAAATTTTTATGAAAATTTCTCTGGAGAATTGAGGAAAATTTGCATAAAATTAATCCGGATATTAGTTGACAACATTGAACGAAGACGCGTTTGAGTTTGTTGTATTGCTTCCACGAGCGTAGCCATATTGAGGCACTAACACTAGTAACAGTAAAGACATTTTTGTTTATGTAATAACGACAGAAGACATGATGGCGTTTGACTAATGGTTTCGTAGAACGAATGGCAACTCGCAACAACAGTAGCAAGCGTCATTTTGCCTCTTGGGTTATACCATCTCAACTAGAACGTGGGGGATAGTGCCCAAACATTTTTCGTCTCTTTATAAACACACCTGCTAAACCCCAGT